ACAAAAAAAAAAAAAAAAAAAAAAAGAAATCGAATACCCTTTCTTTAAACAAACATAACTGCATTGAGATTGAATATAAAATTAAGAAACTGATATTCCTATACTGTTTTATTGTAAATAATTTTTTGCTAATCCTTTCAAAAACATTTATAAAAATGAGGCAGATGTGCAGTCATTGTGAGTGAACGATCTACCAGGCCCCATACTAATACATGAAACTGGCCTTTGAAGCAACTGTTAGTGATCTGGTCGAGAAAGGGTGCTGTCTCCGAATGAGACTGTATTTTCCTAGCTTCATATATCTACCCACTGTTTATTATTCATAACCAAAAGTGTTCTGCAGATTTAGATCCTTGAACATACATAGAATTTGAAAGGCGTAAATTATTTAAACTAAAGGTGTGAGTCATTCATCCGGTGCCTTTCATGTGGCAGGGGATAATGCATTTTATTTTGTATAATTTTTTGTTTAATATATCTCCACATATGGGCAGGTGCTGAGTTTTCACTTTTCTTATATTACACAGAATGGCCTCCCTCTCTCCCAAATGCATCCCTAAGCAACATTCAGTCTCAGAACTCTGAAGACTCATTCCCACACCTTTTCTCTCGTCTTCTTCCTCTGTTACTTCTACCTCTAAGAACGCTCACTTGTCCTCTGTTCCCCATCCACTGAGGCAGAGTGAAGGCCTAAGCTTGGGGCATTTTCCTGCTAAGTGCTGTCTGTTCTCTGGGGCTCACTGTGTCGATTTGTGACTGGAAGACCCTGGGCCAGCTCTGAGGCCAGCAGAGTAAGCACCTGAGGGAAGCGCCTCCTCTGTGGCTCAGGTCCTAGGTCTCAGAACAGATGCTTGGCGCAGAACATGATGGCCAGAGCAAGCATATGACTGGACCACAGTGGTGGGCCAGCCTTGGAAAGCCCTGGCTTTGTAGAACTTTCCATGGTCATGGCACAGGGTCCAGTGAGTCTTGCAGAAGCCATTGCTTCTGCACAACATTTTGTGCATAAAAAAAAACAAAAACAAAAAGAAAAAAACTTCCCCGGGTTTACCTGAGATCAAAAGCATCTATCCAGAAAGCAGATATAGAAGCAATCTTTAAGTATGCAATGAAAAGTCTTTGTCAGTACCATATCTTATTACTACATAGTCACTCCAGAACTTTCTTGACTTGAAACTCTTTGGGGGGAAGAGCATATTCTAGATCTAGACTGCAGAATGCAAAGTGTGGGATAGAAAAGGTAAGCCCCCCCCACCCCACAACATCAGCTCCATAGGAGAAGATTCTTTGCCATTTCTCTTTCCAGTAGGAGTAAAGAGAACACAGGGAGCCCTTTGGTGGGGCTGCCTGGAGAAGGTTTTCCGAGTGTAGCGCCAGCACACATGGAGTGGTGTGATGGATGGCTCTTAACTGAGCTACAGGAGAGCGAGCAGACCCTCCGCCTTCTGTTCACTCCACAAGCAGGCAGAGCAAGGGAAGCACAGGTGTCCATCAAGGAAGGGAGGCCTGATCTCTTACCTGCTGACAGTCACAGGATGCTCTCGCTGCCTGACCATAAGAGGAAAGAAAGAAAGATGAAAAGCCAGATTCCAAGGGTTATTGAAAACAGGACAATTGGACTGATCCAACTTTGGATTGCTTACTAAAAAAGTCAGTTTTAGGAAACTGTACACACAAAAAGCAAGCCTCATGCCACGCACCTAAGAAACTGTGCTTAAGCATTATGCTAATGAGCTGTACAAGAAAAATACTTCTTAGCAATCATCCTTTTTTGAATCAAAATTTCCCTGGACAAACCCAACTCCAAATGATTATAATGTCCACTACCAAGAAATTAGGAGAAATAAACACTGACATTTATGTGTTGTGTATTCAATTTTATAGTTTCCTGAACTAATTTGGAGCCCTTCCGACTGCCTGTTCTTGAGACTCCTGGGGTTCATTAGCTCTAATAATATCAATTCACTACCACACATTTACCATGGTGAGCAGTCCTTCCTCGATAGAGTGAAAGCTGTCGTGTGACAAAGCAGAAAGGGGAAGGGCTAGAGAGATGGACTTATTTCTAGTCCCATAACAGAATCCAGTCAGATGGACTCATTCAAGTTACATAACCGAGTCCAGGCTTTGAACACACATATGCCAACTTCTTGGCTCTTTTCATTAAACAGGTGTGCTAAAAGGCCAGTCAACATTGCATGTTAATTCCCTTTTGGTAGCGGAACAGTAGGGACATTTGAAAGAATGTGATGTGCTTATAGATGGTGATATATTTTTATATCCAACCTTAAAGTCACCATGCAATGTCACTTACTACCTGATTTTGCTTTTTCTTAAAAACTATCAGACTCACCACAGAACTACACAAGCTTTGAGTAATCATGCTTTCCATTTCCCATCTTCCTGCTTCTCTATACCATAGAGAATGCTCTACATGATTATTTTGCCTTTTTTCCTTCATTCTTTTCCTTTTGTCCCATGTAAATTTCTTCCCACTTAATCTTTTGTAACTTCCTCTCCTTCTGCTCGCAGATCCTGTTTTTGTTCTTGTTATTATTGTGCTGTCTCACTGTCAATGCCATCTGGCTTCTCTGACCCCGCGCTTCTCCAGCAGGAGAGCAAGCTTGTAGATCCATCAGTCCTGACCTGCTGAAAACTCCCTCTTCAGTTTTCTCCACAGGCCTATTAGATTCCATGTTCCAGAAGTACTATAGGGAGGGTAGTAAAATATTACCGACATGTGTTTCTGGGAAGAAGGGCAGTGGTTGCAGGTGAAGTTTTATAGGGCTGCTTTGTCCTCATTTCCTGATTTCCAGTTCCATTTGAAACGTAGGTAGGGAGTGAGTAGCCCTTGGAGGAATTCTAAAATTCAGAGCATTTACACAATGGCCAAAGATTCACATCTACAGACAATTCCTGGAATCATCTGATTTCCAGTGTGGGGAATACTGAGAGTTGGTAGGATCAGCACAGACCCAGGTTCATCCCACCCTGGACCTGGTGGTAGTTTTAGCAGTAGAAAACAAAGCTCTTTTTACCGTGCAGGAATTTACTCAAGTAATGCCATGGTTCTAAACTCTGAAGTCACCCAGGACACTCTGGTAGGGTTGGCAGCAAAATGCTTTCCTTGGGCCTCGTGTTTGTGGAACTGAGATTAGACTTAACCCATGTCCTCTGATCATCTGCAGCAGGCTTCCAGCCCAGAAATGAAAGCAGATAACTGGGCTCCGAGTTAGTCAGAATCACAGTTGTTTTCATCTTTGTGTGAAAAGGGTGCTGAGTGCTCAGATGCTGATGTGCTAATTTTTCATTCAGTACTTTCAACTGGACTGTCCCCTTCCTGAGCTGGCTGGCCATTGTGGCTCTCTGCGTGTTCACACTCATCCTGTACTTCATTCCACTGAGGTACATTGTCCTTGTCTGGGGTAAGTAAAGCCTTTTAAAAAACAATGTTTTAACTGCTAAGAAAACACTCTTTTTAAGGGGTGAGTTATACTGTCAGTAGTTCCTCATATTTATGGCCATGTAGCCACTCCATGATGAAAAGAGACAGGTCAGTTAAAAATCTCAACAACATAAAGATTTAGGTCTACCTGCAAAATGCATTTTTCTTATCTGGCACCATAGGTTTCATCATATTACAAACATGTAGCTGTGCAGATTCTTCATATCGCAAAGTGTAGCTTTGTCTAGATACCGTTCTGATTTATTTATACCACTTATACGCCAACAGAGGCATTTCGATCTATATGGTGTGTTTAGAACAATATGCTTTCTCGCCATGGCACTTTATCTTGTGGAAGTGTATGTAAACTTAAGATGGCTGTTTAAGAGGTCACCTTTAAGATTCAGGATCACTGGGACTTATAAGCTCCTCAGGAACAAAATACCCCATTGTACGTGTACCGAGCAAGAATACTTCTATAGAAAGCTACTTAGAGGAGACTTTTTTGGCCCTAATTTGTAATGCAGTTTTTCTGCATGCTGATTATCCTTATATACCCAGATGCTATTTGCAAGGTAGGCTATAGCAGCCTTCTTGTTTTTTTTTTTTTTCTTCCATCCTTTTCCCTTTTTGATAACATTTTTGTTTTGGAAAGCCCCATTTTCAGTCTTAAAGATCTAACATATAAATATATAATATAATCATATTTAATGATATAAACAAGACTGGGTAGAAGAATCTTCTACTTGGCTTTCATCTGGATACATATATACCCAAGATGGCTAAACCTACAGAAAAAACCAGGAACTGAATTGGGCCTTAGCTTCATAAAACTTGTGTTTACACTGAAAGCAAAAAGATCAAAGGAAATGTTTTTTTTTTTAAATTCCTTTTCAAGGCTTTCTTTAGAAGTATACTGAAATAAATCAAGTGGAGTCCTTGTGTTTTCAAGCCTTCCTGTTTTAAGATTTGTTTCCCCTCCTTCCTGGCCCATTTTGTCATTCGCGTGGGTCCTCATAGCCTTTGTCACCACTTTCATTATCTTTTAGACCCCGAATGGAGCGGGTGAAGTAGTGATATTTTTCCTCTACTAATTTCTACAATTTACAGAAACTCCATGGGACAATACTTTCACTGTACAAAGGATAAGGCATTTGCATTATATTCTTGCTTCCCATTGTGTACTGAAGTCCCCATCTTTCATTCTCCTCTGATATTTAAAGCAGATGCTGTTTTACTGAAGGAATTAGGGTAGGGTATCACTCAGGCAGATTATGAACTCTAACCTATCTGGGGTCAACTTGCCCATACAGCTCTGTGCCATAGGTGGCCGCCCCCACTCCCCTGACTTATTTCCTTAGGTTCTTAGGAACTGGGGCCATGGCAGACATCTGGTGACATAACCTGCAGTGGCCTCCCTGACTAGCTGTCTTAAAAGTAATTTTAGAGAATGTGTTTGGGCCTCTTAGTCATCAAATGAAATAAAAGAACAGTATTCCTTTAGTGGCAGGTGATTGCTGAAATATTACCCCGAAATCTAAGACATAGGTCATACACAGGGAGACAGAGACCAAAATCAAGATTCCAGAAGTTCATTCCTCATGCACTCCATGAAGAAAAGCCAACATGCTCTAGTCTCGATAGGTATGGTTCAGTTTTTCATTGTGAAGTTGATTTTATGTAATCTTTATTTTTCAAAATGCTAGTGGCATTTTCAAGTTTGAAAAACAATCAAGGTCACGTATCTTCTAAACATTTAGCTTAAGACATGTATCTCTTGAGAAAGAGGAAACCAATCAATAAATAGCCTTCTTGCCTGGCCCATCTCAGTCTTGAACTGCAGGAAGACAGGTTTCATCATAGTTGGAAAACAAAAGCAAGGCCTCTCAGTACTTTAACACTAAGGCGCACGAGGTGGGGGGGGTGTTCATTTCTTCTAGGTAGTCCCCTTTGTTTCCCAGATGGAAAGCTTTTCCTGCTAGGAAGAGGTTGCAAAGAGAAAAAATAAAGCAGCAACTGAATTGGGAAGAGGAATGTGTGAAGAAATTGGAACGGGTTTCAGGGTGGTTTATATACCTGGGCTATTGGTTTATTTAGTCAATGTTGGGGTGGGGGAGCCTACAAACTAGAGCTTCCAATCACTCCAACAACTCTGCCAGAGATTTCTTTTATAGAACTCAGACTTCATAGAGTTTTCCATAATGTTGATCCATCACTTTTTCAGGCATCAATAAATTTACAAAAAAGCTTCGGAGTCCATATGCAATTGATAACAATGAACTACTTGACTTCCTTTCCAGAGTCCCTTCAGATGTACAAGTGGTATGTAGGTTTTTTTTTGTTGTTGTTGTTATTATTATTGTTATTGTTGTGATATAGTGTGGCACTGGGTTTTAACTTTCATTTCCACTTAATGTCAGATGTTTTAGAGAAGCCTGGCAAAGTTAGTAAAGCTGGTGGCAGATTTTTTTAACAGTCAAGAATTTAGCCTGAGGTGTTGACCAAGAAAAAGCTCACAGAAAAATGGAAAGTGGGGGCTGCACAGAGCAGAGCTGTCAGGAGAATCCTGCTCCAAGTTCAGCAGGAGTTTATGAAGGGCCCTCACCATGGTCTGAAGGGAGAGAATAAAGAATATTAGACGATGAAAACAAAATGTATCAGCGGACATCTAAGGGAAAAAATTCCTGGAATATGCAGATTAAGTGTTTTTTTTGGTTTTTTGAGACAGGGTCTCACTATGTAGTTGAGTCTGACCTGGAACTCACTATGTAGCCCAGGCTGGTCTTGAACTCACAGTGATCCTCCTGCCTCAGCCTCCCAAGTGCTGGGATTACAGGCATGCGTCACCACGCCCAGCTTAAATGAGTTTTTTTTTTTTTTTTTTAATTGAGTTTATTGGTACATTTAGGGATACAGCACAGTTACATTCATTGTTGGGATCATGTACCTTTACATGGCAAGTCTTGATTCTCATTTTTTCCCCTTACCTCTGCCCTCCCTTCACCCCCTCCTCCCCTCCCCATCTACAAACACTTTATTTTCATCTTTTCATTCTCTCACATTTTTTTCTTTTCCCTTTTTGTTCTTCCCCTACGTATCACACCTTCCCTACACCTTTAGCTCCTTTCCTCCCATTTCTAAATGTCAGTAATCTTATTAGAATCTTATGCATTGTTGCAGAATCTTCACACCAGGGAAACTATTTGGTATTTACACATGTGGGACTTATTTATTTCACTTAGGAGTACATCTTCAATATGTATCCATTTTCCTATGAATGAATCTATTCTCTCGCTCTTTATGGCTGAGTAATATTCCATTTTATAGAAAAACCACAACTTCTTTATCCAGTTTCCAACGGATGAGTTTTAAAGATACACGTTTTAAAAAGCTGAGTGAGGAGGAAGATGCTAACCACTTCTTGAAGACTGGGACACATCTCAAAAATCCTTTGAAATCTTTGCAGGGAAGGACTGTTAACCCACAATTTACAAAATCTTGAACATGATACCCTTTCCCTTGTTTCATTTGAGTTTTTCCTTTGATAGATATATGAGTGGGATGGATAGAGATTGAGATTGTATTCAACAAATAAACTGCAAAGGACCATTATCCAGTCCTTCCAAGCAGATTGAGGTGGTTTTGCTTTTACTGTAACGTGTTTTGGTCAGTGAAGATAGTAGGCACTTTTAAAGTTTGCCATCAGGGCACCCTGAAGTTTCCCCAAAGGATTTCCCTGCTCAGGCTCCTCTATTCTACTGTTGCCTGCGTCCCAGCTACAGACCCCATGCAGCCAAGAGAGAGCACTTTTCCCCCAAGCGCTTTCTCACTCCTTTGCTTTTCCTTCCCTTGCCAGAAAGTGGCCACTTGACCAGTCTTTCTCTGAACTCTGTTTAAACAGGTGCAATACCAAGAACTGAAACCAGATCCTTCTCACAGCCCCTATAAAAGGAAGAAAAACAATCTTGGCTAGCCAGCTCCCAGCACGGAGGGGACCCGCATCTGTTTGGGAAGATAAAAGAAAAAGCCTTCAGCTTTGGCAGCATTTCCTTTCTCTCTGCTTTTTATTTATTTTGCCTTTTTTAAATCATGATTGGGAGACGTTGTAAATAGTGTACAAAGGCATACGTCTTTGAAAATATACTTCTGTTGTACAGACTCAACTTGATAAAGGTTGAGCTACTGCCCTGTGAAAGCCTTGTTAGCTGGGATAATAATGCTGAAAGACAAAATGTGGGGGGCAATAGCACTGGAGGACATACACTTCTCTAATTACAAGTGGAAGGACCAGAATATTAAATGCTCAAATGAGCTCTGAGTAAATCTACATAAAATGTAAATGTCCATTTTGATTTTAAAGTTTTTTTAAATGTGACTATTTTTTATCTGAAAAGTAACCCATTGCAGTTTTCTATGTTTTATACATTTCAAAAGGGGAAAAAAATCTCAAAGCCCAAATAATGAAAAGGATTCATTTCAATTTAACAAAGATATGAACCTCTCTCCCATGCAGATTAATTAGCTAGGAGAAAGCTGACTTTTAGCAAATAAGTACAGGTACATTCATCCCTTCACAATAACCTGAGGTCCTGGAGACAAAGCTTACAGACCTTCTATCATTCCATCCCAAACCTTAAGATGTCTCCAGGACTATATGACGTAAATACTGCCAGGTTTATAAAATGATTGCTTATCTGAATTTTTATATCTGCCACTACTTTAATATATATGGAATTATCAAATTAGCAGCCCAATTCAGTTATCAAAAATACGAGTGAAAAAAACCCCACATTGCTTCTGATATCAAATTATTCCTTTGTGCATCGAAAAATATTTCTTACTCAAGTGTTCTACGGGGGTGGGACTTGCTTTCTCATTAGGTTGCTGAAGTGCTTTGATGCATCCCACAATTCTTGTTGTTAGTGTGAATTTTATGTAGAAGACAATGCGGTGTGCTGCGTAAAGTGCCAGTGTTTCACTACATTCATTTATGGGAAAGTTCTTGATAATAGGAATGCATGAAAACCTGTTATGTAAAATAAACTGTGTACGGGGGGTGCCTTTAAAAGGGTGTCATTGCTTACCATAAATTCTGTACTTAAAACCTGCATTCGCCAGACTTTTACAGCAGCTTTTGTACCTAAGTCCCTGGCACACAGAGGGAACATACCTCTGATTTGGTGAGCAAGAATGTCTTAATTCTCTGACTCTGTAGGGGATTAAACATGGAGGAAACCGCTGCAGACAATGTTTTTGCACTACTTTGTTAATAATAGACTGAGATGGAGTAAGGGCGGAGGTAAGGCAGGAAAACAGAGAAGCAGGAAACAGGAAATATATATTTCACTCTAAAGGAGGATTCTTTAAATATAATCCCATTAAAGCTGATTTTTAAAGTATTTTTATTTTGGAGATATGTTGTTAAATACTATTTCTTATAATAGAACTATTTTGATCTGTTTATATACTATGCTTGGAAGAATGTCAATGAAACTCCCTTTCTACAGAAAGGCTTTGACCTTAATATACTCTATTTAGTGCATCATGTGTAAGACGACATCTGCATACCATCACTGTTTGTTGCTGAAACATATTACTTCATGAAGAAGTTGATGTTATACAGTTATACTGATAATTTGTTTCAAGTAACTTTTGATTATGCCTTGTGTGAGATTTCTGTTCTGTGCTTGACACTGTCTTCTCAGACGTCTTTGAGCCTGATATTCTACAACCTCAGATGTATCTAGTGGCTAGTAACCATTAACAGATGACTACTTTGTTTGCTTCATTGTACCGTTTCAGATGTTTCGTTCAATGGCAATGCTGACTACACATTCACTACATTAAATATTGAAGAAAATCACCTTTTCTATGTATAATCAGTACTCCTTTCCTCCTTCCTTTCAGTTGCTGTGGTTGAGAGACAAGTGATGGGAGAATGTGTCCATATTCTTATAACTGACATTTCAAATTAGGTATTTGAACAAACAGGGCTTTTCATGAAATGTTGACTGTCGTATAAAACTCGATACCTTTGGAGGGATGGGATCCAGTGAAGCTGAGAGACTGGTAAGCCATAGCTTGAGGCATGAAAATGATACGCTATGCCGGCTAATCATCATTGCTTTTAGAAAGTACTGTATTCACAGGCTGAGGCAGACTATGTCGAGTAGACTTTTTAACTATTTCTTTCCCTTTCTCACATAGGTGTCCTTTTGTCTTAAGTAAGAGTGGCCTGATTTGTCTTGTTTTGAGATTTCTGATGCTATATCACAGTATGTTAAAAGACGGGATGCCAACCTAAAATCTATTGGGATTGCTAAATATAGTATTGTGAACTGCCAAAATGGTTTCCTTTTAGTAAATTCATTGAGTCATTACCTATATTTGCACTTCAAATTATCATCTTTAATTGTGATTTTGTTTTTAATTTTTGGCAGTCCTAGGATTGAATCTCACGCATGCTAAGCAAGCACTGTACCACTGAGCTACATACCCAACCCTTTTTACTTAGTTTTTAGGGAGACAGGATCTTCTAAAGTTGCCCACACTAGCTTCAAACTTTCCATCCTCCTGTCTCAGCCTCGCAAATATCTGGGATTACAGGCCCCTGCCACCACATCCAACTAACTGTGATAATTCATAAGAAATACATTAGCTGTCCATATTTTAACTTTTTCTGCCACCCAAAAATATACAGTACTACTTGCTCATTTGAACATAGTACCGCTGTCCCAGACTCAAATTGATAGGTTCTGTAGGAATTCCAAATTATTTTTCAGCTATTCTATACACTAGGATATGGGCTAGAAGATTCACCAAGAGATTCTGCTTTGTGATGTATTTACTGTATAGCTACCATATAACCCTATCACAGGCAATGTTCAACCCAATGATAATATGTCAAAAGCAAAACTGGAGTTGTAGTGAAAGCCAAATTTAACTGACTTATTTTCAAAAGCAACTTTTATAGGATTTGAATTCTGCATTCAAAAGTGAAAAAAGTTCTACTTTGTAGGAAGCTCTTTTTCCAGGGACCATAGGAGCTTTTCCCGCCCCTCTTTTGATCTAAATGTCCAAAGATCTCCAACGCTGAAAGTTGCCTACTTTTGTATGAATAAGTCTTATTAAGAGACTACAAAATCAGTCTGTAAACTTGTTAATGAGCCTAAATGTTTATAACGCTTTTTGAGGTCTGTATTTGCTTAGCATAAAAAACAAAACATAAAGCAACTGATGCTCCAGAAATAGAAGAGAATCATCAGTATACTTTCTGAAAAGCCCTCAGATGTTTTTAAATGGTGGTTAAGACCTGGAGCTTTAAATGTCCAATGTGTAAAGAGGCCTATTTGCTAGTTTCATTAGCTTTCCTAGATTCAGGCTTTTTAACCTCAGTTGAATATGAATTTTAAAAATTATGTACGCAGTACTCAACTGTGTCATTCTTTTCATTTAAAGTTCTTTCCCACAAATGATCGGTGTACTTCACTGAAAGAAAAGTCCTTCTTGATGAAAATATTGCCTCAGTTTCCACATTAATATAATGGCAGCTTGTACTGCGGTGGTCCCATCAGAAGACTTGGGCCAGCTCAATCTCCGATGTTTAAGATAAACACCACTAAAAAGCTCTTACTATATAAGATCATTATGGAAATAAAAGACATTAAATGCCCCAAGTATTTATAGAATGTGGAAATTAATGCAACAGAGTTTGCTGTAACTTAATGATTCTATTTGTGCTTTTCCAAGGGCATCTGGTTAAGAACCAAAAATCAAAAGCACACAAAATTAAACAACCAAGTATGTAACTGGTTTCAACTGAGCTTTCTCTTTAATGTAAAACAGAAAGCATTTCATTGGATGCATAAATAGTACTTTTGTTGGTTCTGGATGTTTCCACTAAATGTCAATGAAAAAAATTATAATTCTGTTTTTTAAAAAGTAACAAAGTGGCACTGGTGCTCTGCTCTAGTCAACTGATGGGGTTATTAGAGAACTTCATTTGTTGCTAGGAAAACAGAGATGGTTTAGGTAAGTAGCTATACCAAAGTTTTATCTGTATTTAGCAAAATTAAAATTGCAGTGTAAGACTTCCTTGCAGCAAAATAGAAAAAGTGACCCACCTGAATTACCAAGTGCATCCGAAAGCCATTCTATATTTTCTGGAAGACTAGCTCTGAGGAGATCCTGAGACGTGGCTGAGGGAAACTGTTGCTGCTAGTAATGAGCAAAGAGGATCATTTAGGCTCAACTTTAGTTGGTTAAAGGTGTTAGTTGGTCACAGACAAGCTTCAAAATGGCTTCAATCATGTTAAATAATTTTGCCAGGGTTCACATGTTCACAAGTTTGGAGGAAATGCTAAATTCATAGAGAAAAAACAAAAAAAAAACAAAAAAAACATACCTGCCCCGACCATGCTTACCAGCCTCTTGCATTCATGGAGACACCTAAGATAACATCAAGCATTGTTACGGGACAGCTGGACCAGAGAGGAAGGAAAAGGCAGTATCCGTTCCAAGTTCAGAGATCCCCTGTAAAGCTAGTAGGGAGCTGGAAACCACATAATTATATTCCCTATAAAATATTCTTCCTTACACAGTGATTATAACAATTCCAAGTCAAAATCTGTAGGCACAGAAAGGGCTGTGTTTGTGGTTTTATGTCTTTGTTGAATAAGAGCAGAGGCAACTAATACTAATTTCTGTCCAAATTCATACAATGGTCCAATGGTCTACATATCTCTTACCTTTGTACTGAACTCTGATTAACTCCAGTTTCTATTAACAGCAAATCTCACAAACACAGCAGGGTCTCTGCAACCCCTGGGGACACACAGAAAAGTCAAGTACTATATTCATTTGAAGAAGCAGTCTTTAAGTAGACCAGTGAAATTCGTGAATACTTAAAATTTCTCCTCTAGAATGTACATGGGAAAGGTTTTCAGCAATAACCTTTTTATTGGGGAAATATTATGAATTTAACCAGAAGTAAACACACTGACACTTATAGGGTGACCACTATATACTATTCATTCTTGTGCACAAGTACTTGGCTTCCTGACAAGCAGGTGAGAAATCTTCCTTCCCAAAATGAACTGATTCTCTTTAGTGAACTACAGTTACAATTTAGGTATCCCGTGTGGGTAGAAATACAATGTGTTTTGAGTTGTAGTACTTAAAACATTACCTAGCCAGGTGTAGCAGTGCTCACCTGTCATCCCAGCACTCTGGGAGGCTGAGGCAGGAGGACTGCAAGTTTGAGCACAACCCAGTAACTTAGCAATTTAGTGACAGCCTGTCTCAAGATGAATGTAAAAAAGAGGGGCTAAGGATGTAGCTCAGTTCAAAGGCCCGGGGTCCAACCCCTATGAACCCAAGCAAAACAAAAACACTGCCTAATACAAGAGGTCCCTTTCCTGTATTCACACTAGAGGTGCAAATTGCATGCTGCGGAGAACAGTGGCAAGACCCTCAGAATTAGCACAGCAGACAGCTGACAGTTTGGATCTACGTTCACACTGCAAGTGAGTTATAAAGTGGGGTTTGTTTCACATCAATGATGACAGAAAAAAATTCTTAACATAGCAATGAACATCCTTCAAAGGCATTTAAGGTATACCTTTACTAAATGTAGTTGCCATTTAATCTTACCAGTTTCTTCCTCCTTTTCTGGGTTGAATCCGACAAGAGCCATTGGAGAACAAGGCATACTGCGGGTTCCATGAAAACTTCTTCAAATGAGAAAGTAAGAATGTATTGTGATTCCACATGAGGTTTAATCTTTACCAATTTGCACCTGATCCCCATGCCAACATGGCCAGGCCCAAGGTTACAAAGGCCCCATAGGTTCACTCTCAAAGGGGGCATGCGCAGGACAAGAGTATGGTTGGATGACGCCAGTTATACGTTCGGTTACAGCTGACCTTAACAAAGATGGCATATTTTAAGGCTGTACTTAAAAAAAAATCTAGTACCTGCCAGTTTAAGTAAGATAACTTTCGAAACATTTTAAGATGGACTCTACCTCAGGGGCATACTTTCAAAACAAGCAGGTTCCTGGCATTATAAATAAAGATAAATCACATTCTCAGAAAACTTGGAGAAGTGAAAAATACTCAAAATTTTGTCACAAACACAACCACTACTAGCAATATATTTGAATGTTTCCTTATGTAGAGAAAATACGTTTAATCACATTTAGTTTGTGCTATTAACAAAGAACCAAAATTATTAAAGAACAGTGGTGATCATGGAAGTTGTAAAAAATTGTTTTCTGCCTTCCCTTAAGTCTATTTCTTCCAATAACATGTCTGAGTATGAACTTAGTGTTTTGGAAGTGAGTTTGAAAGAACTAAAGTTATTGAAAAATAAAAAAACAAGACGTCTAGATTTACATAACCTCAAGGAAAGAACTGAGTACCAAAAGTCAAAACAGCCTGTTTCTGACTTTGGATACCAGTGTAACAGGTATGTTTTTATCGACTGTGGAGATAGTCGCCCTGGGTGAGCTCAATATGATCCCCTTCAGAGCCTCCTCCTTCCTGCGGCAATTTCATGTGTATGCCATCATGCAAATTACTGGATTTTTTATTGAATGTAACTAAAAGCACCTTCTTCAAAATAATTATCCAAGCCTCAAAAGTGCAAGGACCCAACTTCAATCCCTGGTCCCCCCCCCCAAAAAAAAATCCAAATTGTTCAAAATTTAATTCACAGGTGTAGTTCATTCCTGACATTAGATTCTGTGTTTTGCTTGATTTTGTGCCTTCACTAACTTCAGTTAATATATTAAGTAATACCTAGAAATTTCTACTTTTTGGAATCCTTTAATCAAACAAGTCCTAACCATTTTTCCCCGAATCCCTTGCCTAGATTTCATCTTTACAATTTTTTTTTCAGAGAAAGTCCTTTAAAACACATACTTTAACTTCACCAGATTCTACTTAATGTTCTGGAATTTCATCTCTACATTGTGAAAGAGAAACAATGCCAAGTTGAAAAATGCATCGTTAGGGCAAAATCAGATACCTAAGATGTACATTCCTTAAAACAAAAACCTGTTATAAACCAAAGTATTTGGATCATTAGAAAAATTTATCAAGAGTCATGACATAAAACATTGCTGACCTAACCTTGAAGTTGAGAAGTTACTGACAACAAACCAAGTTCTTTTATCTGTCACCACTTAAAGATTAATGATTTCTTTTCAACATGAGTATTTCACTTGGGGAGAGAAGAATGAAGAAGTAATGGTGATTTTTGTTCATCCACTATGAAGACAAATGATAGTTTGATAGGTGTAAATTCAAAGCTGGATTCCAAATTTTTGGTTCAGTGTAACTTATCCTCTGGAAGTGTTAAACATTTTCTTTAAAACTTCCTTTGGTAGAACTAAATCATATGTTCCAAAG